GGCCATCAACTAGAAGAACATCTGGGCGTCCTCGATTAGGGCGCGGATCAAGGGTCCAATTAGCCGTTGGGCCAAATCGGTGGAGATCAATTCTAACACTTTGATCTCTCTTCTTTGTAATAACGAGACCAACACGAAGAGGATTCCACGCATGCACGTCTCTTTTTATTTCCCGGTGGAGGGGTACGTGCGCGTAGACGAACGTGCTTGCAGCGTCCTGCTGGCGCAGTGGCAGCCGGCGGCGGTTTTAAGGGAAGAGAAACTTGTCATCCAGTTTCCAACATTAGTGATAGCATTAGGCTACTTAACTTCGAAGTATCAGAGAGGCTAATTTGGTCACGACACTTTCTGATACTTGCTCTTCGTCGTAAGCTGTTGTCTGAAGAATTTCCTTCGTTGACGTCCATAAAGCATTATTACATTGGAAGGAATCCAAGATAGCACTATCCTACGTACTTCGTCCTCGATGTACGAAGAGTGATACAAGCATAGACTAAATACTTGTAAAGTCTACTTCCTTAGTAGATATAGCATAGACCTATGGACTTTGCACTAGATCACAGTTTGTCAATGGATATTCCTTGTGACGGTGCTATATTTGTTCCCAAGGTTTGAAAAGCAGTTCTCTACTAAAGTGGCTTGAGCGCAACTTCTCGTAAAGGATGTGATCATAGACGGAGGACATGAGAAGCTAGTTAACCAATATCCAAACTAGTTGTAGCGGTGCACTCACTCATATGTCAACTGATGGAAAGCTACGTAATATTGGCCGGACGTGCATGCTAGCTCCTTGGTGACCGTGCACGTACGGCGACGCCAATGACGGCAATTTGGGATCCTGGCAGCTCTTGTATACGTGGGTAAATTAAACTGGGCATGCATGGAAACAGCATCCTTACATCCTGATTCTATTCCTGAACGTGACAGCGGGCTTGTGGCGACGGCTAACTAGAAAATTCGGGCGATCAGGGTTTTTAATTTCGGTATTATAAAAATTTCGACCACCACCGAATTTACCGAATTTCGTGTGTGAAGTTCAGCCGAAATTTCACTGAAATTTTTTTAGAGAATAGCACATGAAGTATGTTTTTTTCTAAAAAAAATAAATCTAAACTAATATTGGTATGATTTATGACTACACATTTATTGGATAGAACAATATGCAATATAAACAATAGAAAATATGAGCCTAGAGTTATATAGCACATGTATTAGTGTATAACGAAATTTTGGATTTTTCTTTCGGCCACCACCGAAATTACCGAAATTTGTGATATAAATTTGCACATATCTCAAACTGTAAGCTACTTCCTCTCACACAGATTAATTAGCTTTTAGAGTTGTCCTAAATCAAACCCTTTTAAATTTGACTAAATTTTATATAAAAATATATTCATGACAAAATTAGTAAGGCTAGATACAACAGTAAACATATCTTTATATTATGCTTTTAGTCATTTAGTGTCACACATGTTAGTATTTTTTAATAAAATTATCATTGTTTCAAATAGCCGGATATAGCCACGTACTGCTACAACCAGACTGTCTTCATGGAGACTGAGGGCTAAGGTAATCTACTTTTAGCTCTAAACCTTTCTTGCCCTATTAGCTGAATTTAGGGTGCTAAATCTGCTAAATAGCATCCCATTTTACCCGATAACCAGGGGAAACCGAACTGAAATGGAACAACAGCGCCGGAAGTTTTACACTTGCACTATACAAAAAATGATTTTAGAAGACAGCATGTTTTATTTTCGGAGATGGACATTTTTTCCACCATTTTCGTAAATGATCTAGTGCTAAATTGAGGCTCCCGCCAAGGCAGACCTCTTAAAAGGCCCATTCCTATAAATCAGGACTTATGGAGACGGTCTTTTTAGGAAGTCTAAAAAAAAGAAGTCTACCTCTAAAAAACTATTTTAGAGGCATCCTCGTATATGGCCCGCCTATGTAATTCAACCAGGAAAGACAGCCCAAAGCCCACTGCATAGGTCCGCATATGTAACTTCCACAAGCAAACCCTAACCTCTATCGCATTCTCTCTCAGCTGCCCGTCTCTTATTAGACCAACTCTGCTTCCTCTCTCACACCGATGCATCCCCATCTCTCCTCTCTAGTGGCAACGCTTGGCCCATCCTACAGTGGCGGCACTTGCGCGGGCCCCCTCTAAATCTGTAGTGGTCACGCAAGACAAGCCCCCTCCATCAACGGCCCTTGGTGCCCGCCCCTCCAGCCACGACGCACGAGGCCCGCTATCGTGGGTTTGATTTCACGACAGTAATCTAACGACTTGACGTGGGTCAATGCGTGAGTCTTCGATAGCTTAAGCACTCAAAACATAGGGGATTTATCTTGGTTTGGGTATCCAAGCCCTACGTTAGCAGTGGTGTTCTTTGTGTTAGGAATGATCAATCGAGTTACTACGAGAGAGAGAGAGAGAGAGAGAGAGAGAGAGAGAGAGAGAGAGAGAGAGAGAGAGAGGTTGTAGGAGAGCACTATGCTACTGATCTAGGGTTTGATCGGTTTCGATGGGTTCCGTCCTATGGCTGATTGTTTGGTCTGGGATTCATCCCCTCTACTGGAGTCCATACTCAACCTTATATGTCGGAGGGTGGTGGTCAGTACAAGGTACATGGTTCAAGGGATTCTAGGGCTTCAGTTCCTAATCTTCAGTTGGTGGCCGCACCGGGCGTCGTCCCTCATTCCATAGTGGTCACAGACAGCCTCCAACTGCCTCTGACATCCTCTGCTACAGCCTTGGACATGACTTTAGGTTTTGCCTGCTACCATTGAATCGCCTTCTCGTGGTGTCTGTCACACGCCAAGGGTCTGGTCGCATGCAGATTGAGTCTCCCATGCGGGCCCAGACTTGTCCGCGTAGCAGGTGCACCGTGATTCTTGTTGCGTTGAGTCACGCTGCGAGCATGACCCTATGCTAGGAGTGGCCGATACGGCCTCATGTGAGCAAGGGAACAAGATGCCCGACAGATTCTAGATGGAAACCATAGCCCAAGCAAGGCCTAGGCACGCGTCATAGCCCTTGGTCGGTTGCCACCTCCCAAGGTCGGGAGCCACCTTGGCCTATCTGGCCCCCCAGGTGCGAGTGACCTGGGTGAGGACTTATCCTCCGCTCATTTCCCAGGTGCTAAGGCCTTCTTCCGAAGTGGACCTTCTAAGGTCCATCCAGCCATTCGTTAATGGGCCTGATGGTGCGCACGAATGCACCCGATGGGTATAGCCACCGAGCCCCTGCATGATTAGAGAATCAGTCAGGGGGTGAAACGGACTGTTATGGTACTAATGCAGAGGCTTAACCTACCCTATGTTTAAAATACTCAACATCCACCCTCCTCACCGGTGACCCATCCGCGAGAGGTGAGACCTAGTCGTTTGTCTCCCAATTCTAGATTTCATTGATTTAAATATTCCTTGGCTCTCTCGATTCAACGCAAGGGGAGCGGCAGGTCGGGGCGGCGACAGCATCACAGCATGACGCCATGGCCAAGTCTAGGGGTTGCAGCGGCGGGGACACGTGGGCACTACGACCGCATCGGTCGCGGATGGCTTCTCCAACGCTGGATCCACTCTCGCGCAACAAAGACAACATTGACAGCATCACGTGCGAGGAGACGGCATTGGCTTTGAGCGATGTGAGCAATGGCTACAACATGAACCAGGCGGCGCTGGCAGCGGCGCGGTGGCTGCTCCAGCTCTGATGGGCTCAAATGGGCTTGACGGGCTGGGCAGTGGGCTTTTAAGTTTTTTTTTAATTTACGAAGACAGACTGTGTTTTTCTTGATTTACAGTGATGAAGTAACGGAGGCGGCAGTGGTGCCTGCCTCTCTTAAACACTTTTGCCCGTCTCTTAAGATGAATTCTGTAGTATAGTGTTTTACTCCTTTCTATCTATCCTAGTGTTCTTCCTCGCCCTTTGCTCCATTCAGACTTCAGAGATATAGAGGTGTAGTTTGAAACTTTGGATGCTCATATATTGCAGCCCGTGTTACAGCCCGTGTTAAGGACGGAGGAAGTATCTATTACGATGTGAACAATCAGTTGGCGCGAACTACTACCAAATTGTATTGGTGCTTGTTTATCTCGCCACAGTTGACAAGAATATAAGAACGAGATAAGCTTGTTTGGGGCCAGGCTAACTACTTTGACAGGTCGTCAATCAGTCAGTTACATTGCCTAACCGACTTTGTCCATTGTGCACACGGTCCAACCTAAGCTGCCCATGGATGAGTAGTTTTGACCTACTATATAATCCATCATCACTGATCACTTATCCCAATCATTCAACTTCCATGAGCAAGGTAGTGGACATGTGCCTAATTTTTCTTCTTCAATTTTGACTGAAAAATTGTGCGGTTTTTTAATCCGTATTCCGGCTTCCACTCAGAAAAACTAGACTAACACGCCTTTTATTTTCTCTTAAAATAAAACTCGTGGCAAAGATTTTGTTGTCCTCTCAAAGAAATGAATCCAAGAGAAGGATATAGAATCTGCACATTGGCAGTATGCATCGCAATCACAGGAGGTTCCATTCTAGCTGGTTAATCGTAGAACCTATATCAAATTTCAGTCGTGCAAAGCAGCTAATTATATCTTCTCATTATCTTTCTCATGCTGTGTTTTTTTCTCGAAAAGGATACTAGTGGGTTACAGTTACAGTCAGTCAAATTAAATGAATATGCAGCTAAGTAGAATTATTCACTGAAAAACACAATCTCACAAGTTCGTATATACATCTCAGATCCAAAATTCAGGCAAACAAAAAGTACACTCTAACTAGAACGAATGTTCTTTTTTGTAACCAAAGACACACAACTATGTACTATACACAACGATGCACATTAGTACAGTATATATCAAATCCCAAAACAGAAATGTAGGTGATGCATAATCACCATGCATGGCCTGAACAATCCAGCCAAGAAATGGAACGTTTCTGCACCCAAAAATGCATTGCCATCAGTGCTGCTGCAGCCTGCAATGGCTCATCCTTTCCTGCTGAAGGAATAGGCAGAGGCGGTGCTCTGCTCGTCCCTGTGCACGCGGCTCTTGCCCTTGTGCGCCACGAACATCTTCCTGAGCGCGCGCATCATGGCCACCAGCCCCGGGGGCCGCCGCCGGGAGCTCCTGGACGCGCCGAGCACCGCACCGGCGCCGGCGCCGAGCTGGTCCTTGTCCTTGCCCACCCTCCTCGCCCCCTCGGCGGCGGTGGCGGTGGCCACGGACCGGCGGCGTGACACGTCGAGGGACCGCCCGAAGAGCAGGTCCTCGCCACGGGCCGCCGCATCGTCGTCGTTCAGGTCCTCCCACAGGCTGTCCATCCTCTCCTCCTCCTCCTCGCCCTCGTCGCAGAATCTGGCGGCGCCCGCGGCGTAGTCGCTGAGCGCGGGGGAGCACCCGCCGTTGAGGCGGCGGCGGGCGAGCAGGACCCGGTCGCGCCACGGCGACGCGGCGCAGTCGGCCGCGGAGAAGCTGCGGCGGATCGGGGACGACGACGACAGCAGCCACACGGGCGGGGACGAGGACGCCGACGCCGCGCACGGCGGCGGTGCCAGGTGGAGGAAGTCCCTGCCGCGCGCGCCGCCGCCAGCGCCGGCACCCAGGAGCTGCGGTGGCGGCGTGGGGAAGGTGAACTCGTCCTCGCCGTCGCCGTTTTCTTCTTGCTCCTGCTCCGGCGTGGTGGCGCGGGGCGGCACAGCCATGGCGCTCCGCATACAAGCGAGAGCTGGCGAGTGCGCGCCTCGGTTTTCTGGGAGGGAATCTATGGACCGCCTGCCTGCGTGCCTTTGTGTGCAGATGACGCCGCCGCCTACTTCATCTTGGTCGTCGTCATCGTCGGGTGGGGTGGGAGATCCAAGAACCAGGACTGAGATTTATGCTATGCTAGCAGTAGCAGCTTGCACCGAGCTGTGGACGGACGGAATGACGGCAGCGCCCGCCGCCCGGTGATCCCGCGCTAAATTTAGCAGCACAATTAGCGTGCTCTGACGATGTCGGATCAGCGACGAATGGCCTGGATTAAAGACAGGGGAGTCGATGACGCCATGTATTTTTATTTTTATTTTCGGTTTCAATTTGATCTAGTATTAGAAGTTTGGAGCGTGGGTTTAATGCCATTTCTAATATAGAAAGCAGAGAAGAGAGCGTACAATCATAGGGGGTAAATTTTGAATTATACACTACTAACTGACATATATGCTTTGAGATATATGGAAGAAATTTATTATTGTGAAAATTGTATCTCAAGGATTATTACAGCTAGCTGTTAGTCTAATAAGCTATGAATTGAAAAGCATGATTGCCTAGTACAAACAAACTTATATATAGTGATCGATGCTTGCCAAAGAATATTGTTAAACATTTATCTTATTACGTATATGTTTGTGTGTTTGTATGTAAACTTGGTCGCTTTAGCTGTTTGACTTACGCCAAACCAAAAATATATATACTCTAGTTGGTTATTATTTAACTAGTACCTTGATGTCCGGTGGCCACAGCATGACAAGAATATCTGTACGATCATACCAAGCTAGGTCCTTGACACAAATCAAATTAGGTTAGTATATATAGTTGGTTATTATTTAACACCTGATCAACATGACGAGATTTCGATCATCTTCTGCCAAACCTAGCTTTAGTTGGTTAGTATATATTGTTGGTTATTATTTAACTAGTATATAGAAGTTTAATGTCATTTCTAATATAGAAAGCATAGAAAGCAGAGAAGAGAGTGTACAATCATAGGGGGTAAATTTTGATTATACACTACTAACTGGCATATATATGCTTTGCGATATATGGAAGATGTTTATTTATTGTTGTGAAACTTGGTCACTTTAGCTGTTTAAGACTTATGCCAAACCAGAAATACATTTATATTTAGAATAAGATGTAGCTAGTACCCTGCTGTCTGCTGGCCACAGCATGACAAGAATATATATACGATCATCTAGCTATCTAGGTCCTTGACACAAATTAAATTAGGAGGCCTCGTTCGGCTTGCTGAATTTTGGCTGAAACTGGCTAAAAAACACTGTTCTGGCTGAATTGTTGTGAGAGAAAAACATTGTTCCGACTAAAAAAAGAAGCCAAACAAACCGACTTCTGGGTAAGCCGAATGGGGTGAACGTTATTATTTGGTAGGTAGTAGAAACCAAAAGAGTTGGCATGCCGTGGGGTCCAACCGTGCCAGATTTCAGTTAACCGCAATGCTGGTCAGACTCAGCAGCAGATTAGCGAAGTAGGCGTGTGCTAATTAATTGTAGCCGCCTGCCAGGTGCATGCCTGAACACGTCAACACAATAATGTGGATGCATATTTTGGAACATTACATATATTTTGAGGGCCTTACATTATTCCATCTCTTGGACACTAGGTACTATCATATCGCTAGAGTTCGGACTTCGCCCTACCATTTGCGCCAAACTTCATTGGACGGGTTTGTACGTGCCTACTAGCTAGCTTCCACAAGTCTTGCGTGAAAAGTACCTCTACTAGGACTAATAGCTGCTGACTTCCTCTTATTCTTTGATATATGCATATAAAAAATCAGATTGCTTTATTTTATCATCAAGCTTATGAACACCTTTTTTTAATAATAAAATAATTAGTTTGGTCTGATGCATGTCTGAACTAGAATTTTATCCATTATCTAAACAAAAATAAATATTTTGTAGTAACGCTTTATTAGGTAGTCGGCCACGGGTATGAAGAGGGAGTATGGCGGGAGCTTCTGCGAAATAAATATTTAAAAAATAAGACATTAACCCAAGTTTGTAAGAAAGCCATGGATTCACATTTTTTAATGAGTTTAATGTCGATAAAGGCCTACTAGTTCATAACGCTAGTAAAATTTAAATTAAGAGATGGTTCTGAAATCTAATTCTGGGAAGGTATCTTTGTTCGGAAATCTTTCTTTACAGCAACAATATCCGAATTTCTATAACATTGTTCGCAAGAAAAGAGGCAACAAGTTCAGATGTTCTAATAAATAGTGTTCCCCTAAATATCTCTTTTAAAAGGGCAGTAATAGGGATCAAATTGTTAGAATGGAATGACTTAGTAGCGCCATGTATTGCCAATGTCAGTTTACAATCAGGTAGAGACATGGCTACTTGGGCTTTGAACAAGAACGGTTCCTACTCAATTAGCTCTATGTACACGTTATTAACTAATACAAGCACCAACTTCTTATAGAAAATTTGGCGGGTTAAATTACCTTTGAAAATTAAAGTCTGTACGTGGTTCCTCAAAAGAGGTGTGATACTAACTAAAGATAATCTTGCAAAGAGAAATTGGCAAGGGAGCAAACTTTGTAGTTTCTGTAGTAGCCATGAAATAATTAAACTCCTTGTTTTTTGGGAAGGCTCTTTGGCGGGGCTTATTTGTTGTTTTTGGTATTGTTCCATCTCTCAGTATTGCGAATCTTTTTGGAAGTTCATGTAAACAGGGAAGAAAAAGAAAATAGATTATTTTTAGTAACAGGGGTAGAAGCCTTCTGTTGGTTGACAAGAAACGGAATTGTTTTTTACAATTGTGAACCTAAAAACTTTGTGCAAGTCTTGCTATGAGGAATTTATTGGCTTCGTAATTGGACTCAACTCCAGCACTATGATGACGGGAAAAAACGCATCGTCTTCACTTGTCGCACGTTGGGTGGCCTTATGTGTTTAGGATTACAAACTAAGTTTTTTTAGCATATGAGACTTTTTGTTTTACGCATTTATGTGTTGTATTAACTTTGGTCTGGTTTCTCAGATGAAACCAGCGGATGTTCTTCTATTATTGAAAAAACAGGTACATACGTACGGTGTTCACGGATAATTAACGTACCTACGACAAACCGTATATAGATAGTACCACTCGTGAATTAGCTCATGAATGAACATTGGCACTAACTAGCTCGTAGAGTTTGCAAATACTTTTTTTTAAGGAAGTGCTAACGCCCGAACGTCCGGACGCCCATGCTACACTCCCGTTTCTCACGCTCGGGCCAACACGCACCTGCCCCGAGCCTGCATTTCACGCACCCACGCGGGGCCCGCGTCGCCCGGACGACGCTCGCGTTGCCAGACCGCGCGCAGGGACTGATCACGCCCCCTCTGCTTCTCACGCGCATTACAACATATACAACATCCGATCGACTTTTGTAATATTTAGATAAAACACTTGCAACATAAGTACCAAAATAGTTGAAACACTTGCAAGATACATCCGAAACACTTGCAAAACAATAGAAAAACTTGAAAACACGTGTGTAGCCATTGCAAATATATGCAAACATCAAGATGAAACACTTGCAACATAAGTATAAAAACACTTGAAACACTTGCATATATATATGCAAAATCCCAATCTAGTTTTGCAACATCCAAATAAACACACTTGCAACATATGTCTGAAACGAATGAAACATTTAGAACATACACTTCAAACATATGTGTATAGCCCATTGCAACATGTGCAGCATCCTGATCTACTTTTACAACATTTTTATGAAACACTTGCAACGTACCTCTAAACCATCTGAAACATTTGAAATGTACACTTGCAACATGCATTGTATCTCAGTGCGGCCTCCACCGCCGTCTACATCGGGACACCGTAGCCGTAGCAGGAGGTGATGCCGGAGGGATTCTGCGCTAGGGCCCGATGCTTCTCCTTGCATAGCAACCTCAGTGGCTAACTGGTGGCCGAGGGAGCGGTCGCCATGCATGGGCGCGGCGGTGCCCACGCCGTTAGGCGAAGTGGGCCGTAGAGAGCAAAAGTAGCGGGGCGGTCGATGGAGTAGGAGCGGGCGGGGTCACCGTCTGTGGAGCAGAGCGAGGCATGTCTCTCGTCTCCTTCTCATTTCCTTATCTAACCGGCCCAACGGAAGAGACGGATGTGGATACCATAATAAAAAACGAGCGGGCGCGGAGCAGAGGTTTATTGGGCTGGTATGTAGGCCCACGAAGGGGTATTCGGACGGACAGACGGCCTGTAGATAGCATTTTTGTTTTTTTTTATTGAGAGAGAGGAGGGTTTGCACGTACATGGGCGTTCAGGTTTGGTCCAGTGGGCCGTGCGGGAGATATATATATGGGGAGGACAAGGAAAGAGAAGGAATTCCGAAAGAGAGATGCAGGCCCGGGGACGCACTGTTATCCTGTTAGGCCTATCAGCCCACTTCGAGAGTATGCTTAGTTAGTTTTTTTATTTTCCCCTCAAAAAAATGTTAGTTTTTTTTTATTTTGCTCGAAAAAAAAGTATGCCTAATTAGTTAATGATATGATATATAAACCGTCAATCCATGCACCTGCACAAGTTAGAATTTTATTACCAGGAGACATACATGTGAAGGGTGCCTTCTAACTCCAACTCTTTGCTATAGTACCCGAAAGAACCAAAGCCGATGAAGTTGGGAAGAGATAGAGAGAAAAGGATATCTGCTTGTAGGAGACGGAACCGTTTGAAATCATGCCAAATTGAACAAGGTTGAAATTGGTGCTTATCCACTACAACGAAATTGCTGTTTGTAGGTGGTCAGAATGCCAGATCTCAATTTATAGGGATGGTTGGCAATATGGTTTGTCTCTAAAAATGATTTATAAGAATTAAAATCGGACGTAAACAATAGAAAAATAAAATCCTAGGAGAAGCCCACTAGGGAAGCATCACAACCATGCGCCCCATGCGTTTCCTTGGATTTGGACTCACTCTT